GCCAATTCTTCCCTCAGTCAAGGGAGTGGACTGGCTGAAAGGTCATAGTCTTGTGAATAATTGTAATAACATCATTGAGCATTTATTGAATGCTTTACAGTGTGTTAAGCATTTTACATGCATGATCTTTTAGTTTTCCCAGCAACCTATTTGGTATAGAGTACTAGGATTACCTTGTTTTATAAAAGAAACTGAGGCTAAGAGAGGTTATCACCTGCCCAGGGTTATTTAGAAACAAATAAATACATTTATTTTAAGCAATACTGCAGACTGAATCCAGAACTTTGTGCATGCTAGGCAAGTATTCTACCACTTAGCTGCATCTTCAACTCATTTATCTAAATTTTTTTCTTTTTTCTTTTTATTTATTTATTTATTTTTGTGATACTGGGGATTGAACTCAGGGGCACTCTACCACTGAGCTACATACAAACCCTTTTCATTTTTTATTTTGAATCAGGGTTTTACTAAGTTCTGACCAAGAACTCAAGATCCTCCTGCCTCCACCTCCCAAGTTACTGGGATTATAGGTGGGTGCTACCATGCCAGGCCAATGACCCTATACTTAAATCCAATTTGATGTTATTAAATCCCTATTCTGAAATCCTGATTATAGTCCTTCCCATTAAAATGGGATAAGATGTCTTTGGGAATTGTGACCTGGATGGGGGATATTCCCTGTGTCAGTAAACAAAATTCCCATCTTTCCTCTGCTCTTGCACCATAGCAGTCCACAGACTTCTGTGACCTCAGAAAGCTATGTTTTGGTTTTTTTTTCCCCACCAGGGAGCAAGCAGGTAGTTCTATAGAAGCCTGAGTGTCTTCTAATCCAATTTGGTTCTGATACTATCTACCTAGAGACAGTATCCAGTCCCACAGGTTTGGGGGTCAGTTCCCAAGTCTGCTCCCCGTTAGATGCCAGCATCAAGCCCTGAAGTTTTACCTGTACTTCTAACTGACCTACTATTAATCAGAGTTTCCACAATCCTCTTCTTGTTTCAGTTAATTTGCTTGAGTGACTCACAGAACTCAGGGAAACACTTCTGTTTACCAGTGTATTATGAAAGGTGTTAAAATGGATATAGATGAAGAGATGTATGTAGAAAAAAGCATGTGGCACTTCCATGCCTTCTCTAGGCACTACCCTCGAAGAACTTCTACCAGTCAGCTATCTGATAGCTCCCAAACCCTGTCCTTTGGGTTTTGTTTTGTTTTGTTTTATTTAAGATGGACACAATATCTTTATTTATTTATTTAATTAATTTATTTTTTTATGTGGTGCTGAGGATTGAACCCAGTACCTCACAAGTGTGAGGCAAGCGCTCTACCACTGAGCTATAACCCCAGCCCCTGTCCTTTGGGTTTTTATGGAGACTTCATTTTATAGGCACAACTGAAGCACGAACAATTGTATGGAAATGTGACTGGACAGAAGTGTCCTCCCTCCAAGGTGTGGGGCAGGACCCTCTGGAATGAAGAGGGTCTTATGATCTACTTTACCATGGAGCTACATCCCGGTCCTTTTTTTTAAATTTTGAGACAGGTTCTTGTAAAGTTGTTGAGGATCTTGCTAAATTGCTGGTTGTGGCCTCAAACTTGTCATCCACTTGTCTCAGCTTCTAAGGCATTGAAATAACAGGCTGCCCCACCATTCCCAATTCAGAGAATTTCTTTATGACCAACACCAAGACAGGAAGGCAAAGAGGTTAGAATTTCCATAATGCTCCTTGGAGAAACCCTAGTTTCTGTCGTCAGTTTTGGGAAGGGAATTATAAGCCAGGAAACATGGATGAAATCCAAAATATATACTATACATCTTTCATACTCAGTAACAGGTAAGGAGGGTTCCTTCCCCTTTTCTTCTCTGAACTTCCCATTACCATAAGATTGAAAGAACTTACTGCCCCTTCCACCCACACCCCACCCACTGCTTCCTGCTGAACCTCAGGTTTCTTGGAAGAGATTCTGAAACACACCTGTGGTAGGGAGAAGGGCTGGGGAGACAGGGACATTGGTTGTCTGAGAACAAAGCTGGGGTTGTCCTTTGGCGTTTTTGACCCACCTCCTTCACGGAGGACTAGCCTGTTGGTGTGCAGTGGGCAGTCTGCCCACCGGAGAGAGGTGCTCACACACACCCGCCTGCTACAGTACCGCTGTGTTCAGGGCAGCTCTACCTCTGCTGCCCAAATCCAGCCTCAAGCCGGCTTTTGCCTCTTCATGGCAGAGTTGTCCTCACCCAGCCTCTCAGTGGCTAGAGTTCTGCAGCCACCAAGTGTAGGCTTGGTGCTTGAAGCAGAGGGGAATTTCACCACACAGAATTAACACTTCTCTTTGGATTATTAGTCAGCCAACCACTTGCCTTTATGCTGTGCATGTACCTAGAATTGAATTCCTTGGCTTACATGAAGAGGAGGTACAGCCTTCCTTAGAGCACTGGAAGACCTCCTGAGAGGATCTGTTTTCTCAGGCCAGCTGAGTCAGGCCTGTGCTATGCTAAGAAGTAGCCTACCTTGTGGGGCAAATAGGTCTGTAGATCCAGGTCTTATACATGCAAAGGGATTTGGCTCTGAGGCATTGGAGGCTCTGGTAGGCTGGATTGCTGAACATGGCCAGAGACACCCATGGCATCTATGGACAGTCTAGGAAAAAGTGCTATAGGGCGTAGAAGCCTGTATGTTTGAGCAAAGGAGTGACATGATAGGTAGCTGATGTAGAATCATGGGAACACGCAGCAGAGCACGCTGTAAATGAATGCTCCTTTCTAGCTGACTTTGGACAAACCATGTAACCCTCTCTGAAGCGGTCTCCTCCTCCATAAAATGGGACCATAATGTGTTCTCTACCTGTTGATGTGCAGGGCTTTCCACACTCGAGCCCAGTGGTGAGGATGGAGAGGGTGACGGAGGCTGAGTCTAGGAGAAGTAGGCAAGTGCCTTGGCTGGGAGGATTCAGTCCCATATCCCAGCTTCCAGGGTGGTGATGGAGGACCAGGAGAGGAGAAATGGGGAGATGTTTGCAGGACAAAGGACAGGACATGCTCAACGACAGAGTTGCTGGTGAGAGAAGTCCAGGAGCACTACTTTTAGCATGGCAGAAGAGAAGGCACTGAAGATCCTGATAAGGGTACTGCTGAGGTTATGCACAAGGTTATGAGTGCAAGTCAGGATGGAGGGGCTTTGCTGAGGGGGAGAAGAGAAAGAAGAGCATGGGGGGTCACAGTCATTGGGATGAGCAGAGAGAGGGGAGCCAGGGACCACTGAGTGGGCCTGCTCTCTGGTACCTTCTTCCTCCAGGACCTGGATCAGTGGGCTTCTGACTCTCTGCCCATATCCAGAGAGAAGCAGCTGGGATTAGTTTGGTAAATTCTGAAATGTGGCCAACTGGTATTGCTGGAGAGGGATGTAGGTACAAAAGGAATGTTGGCAGGGAGCTGTTTGGGACTGGGCATGGGGTGGGGAGGTGTTTTTACTCACAAGGGCTCCACCGTAGGAGTGGCACAAGGATAGGGGTGCTTTCTGGGTTCTGAGTTCTGTGCTGGGATGAATGGTGATTTGTTGGCATCTCCTGTTTGCCAAGTTTGCCCAGGAGGAGTCTCAGAGGTCACTCAGGGCTGACAGAGGCAGCAAAGCTTAAGAGGAGTCAGAACGGGATGTAAGGTATATAGGACCAGGGATTGGGAGGGGCTGGGTCAGTTCAGGTTTGGTGGAACAGGGTGAGTGGAGTGTCTATGTAACAAGAGACTTGGGAGGCAGTCTAGGACAGAGGACTGGGCTACTGGGGCTAGGAGCCCAGGTCAGTCCACACCAGTTGCCCCCACATACCCTACAGCCAGTACTTGTGGAGAAGCTAGATGGGGGTCAGGGCTGCTAAAAAGCTACAGATGCTGTCCTGATGGCAGGACTCCTGCAGGGACTGTAGAGGAGTGGCTTTGAAGAGTGGCTTTGGAATAAGACAAAGCTGGATTTGAGAAAAACCAAAACAATACAAAAAGTAAAAACCTCCACCTCTTCCCTACATTCTGACCTTTTAGTTTCTTGTCTTCTTTTCAGAGACATATATGTGTCCTTCTTGTACAAATAAAACAAAACACTGCTATGTTCTTTGCTTTCATTCCTGCCTAAATTCTTGGTCACATGGAAGAACTACCTAGTTCTTTTTAATGGATGCTTGGTATTCTTTTATATGGTTTGCCTTAATTTAGCCAACTGGACTCCAGTGGATAGACACTGGCATTGTTCCTGCTTTGGGGTTGTTTTGATGGAGCAGCAATCCTACTTTATGTACAACTCTGAATGCTGGGGCAATTATTTCTGTAAATTCTAGATATAGATTTTCTGGGTCAAAATTGTTTCCCTTCCTCCAAATTTCCCTTCAAAGTTGTGGGGGCACACACCTGTAATCCCTGCAGCTTGGGAGACACAGGCCTCCTAGAGAATCGCAAGTTCAAAGCCAGCCTGAGCAACTTAGTAAGCTCCTGTCTCAAAATTAAAAATATAATAATTTAAAAGGGCCTGGGGACGTGGTTTAGTAGTTAAACACACACCTGGGTTTAATCTCCAATACCAAAAAAAAAAAAAAAAAAGATTTCCTCACATCATACTTCTGCGAACAGTGTACGGAAGTTACATAATGATAGGTACATAGAGCTGTTATAAGGCTTCCAGTCAGTTCTTGCCAATCAGGCTGCTGGGGTGGGGCTCAGGTCAATAGTTTTGCTGCAAATTGGATCACTCTGGACAGCACCCTACGAGGTGCTGGGTTGGGTTTCATAGCTGAAGAAGGAGAGGTGGCAGGAAACTGTAGTCTGACAGCTGCTGAGTACCTGATGTGTGCAGACACTGGAGCAGGGACAGAGCAGTAGACCAGACTCTTGCCCTTCCCTCATAGAGCTAACAGTCTAGTGTGAACAAGTCTCCATGCAGTGTGGTAAGTGCTGCCTCTTCAAGTCCCCTCTGACTGGGTCTCTCTCTCCCTTGCCTGCCCCCCTCCCTGCCCCTCAGTGTACGTGATGGAACGGGAAAGGAAGACAGACAGTGGGTGCGCGGCGCTCCTGGCCGCGTGCTGGACTGCACTCTGCTGCTGCTGCCTTCTGGACAACTTTGACTGAGCAGCCAAGACCCAAGTTCCCTGCAGCTCTGCTACCTCCTGTTACTGCAATAAACAACTACAGTTGCATAATTTCAAGTTTTTTCTTTGAAAAAAATCTAATCTGGAATCTGAAATTTTAGTACCTATAATAGGTATAAAATGGCACCTATTTTAATTTGCCTTCCCTGATTACTAGTGACTTTGAATATAAAAATAGAAATTTGGGGCCATTTTTTTGTTTCACATAGTGAATTGTTTATACATTTTTTTCTTAGGCCCCCCCCCTCCCTTTTTCTAATTAGTTTGTCTTTTCTTATTGACTTATAGAGAATCTGGTTTTCTGGTTTTGGTGTTTTTTTTGTGGGTTTTTTTTTTTTTTTTTTTTTTTGGTACTGGGGAATGAGCTCACAGGTTGGGGCTCAGTCCCTAAGGCTGCTACCCCTCTGATGCTGGCCAGGCCCAAGCCCCTGGTTGTTTTGCCTGTGCTCTGACCCAATGAGTATAAATTAGAATCCTTACACCCACTTCTTGGATTCTGTCAATTTGCTTAAGTGGAACACAGAATTCAGGGGAACATGTTTACTGGTTTATTATAAGGGATATTTCAAAGGGTACAGACAGAGATGCTGAGGGCAAGGTGTGAGGGGAAGGGTGCAGAATGTCTGTGCCTTCTCTGGTACCCCACCTTCTAGGAATCTGAACACGTCCGACTGTCTAGAAGCACACTAAACCTGTCTTTTTTAGAGTTTTTATGGAGACATAGGCATGATTGAAGCTTGAACGTCTGTGTAGAAATATGACTGGACAAGAAGGGAGAGATCTAATAAAATAGACTTGAATGGGGAATCTAGCAAGATCCATCCAGATTGTCCTTGGTCTCTCTGCAGCATTCCTTCCTCTCTGGTAGTCTGTCAGATTAGAGAACTTCTTCATGGCTAGCTCACAGAGAGGCAGGGGAAGATTATTTTTTGTGACCTGCCTTAGGAAGAGAAGTTATGGTTTGTATGAAGAGGGCCTTCTAAAGAGAGGGCCTCCTAAAGTGAAAGAGTTACAAACCAGGAACTATGTTCAAAAATCAAAATATGTATATCATAATATCACAGTCATCCTTCTCCATTAATTTGAAATGAGATTTGTTGCTTACCAAGTTCATGTATACATTCATATGGCCTAGAATCAGGAGTCTGGTATGATAAGCATGCTCCCTACCTCTAGGACACACAGGAACACAAACTTCTTATTCTTAATAATTTTCTTCACTATTCTTGACTATTTACTCTTTATTTAAGAATGTGTATAAGTTTCTACAGAAAAGCAAATTTGACTTTGATTGGAATGGCATTGGAATGAAGAGTTGACATGTTTATAACACTTCTTCCTATAACAAAGAAAGTTATTGTCTCGTATCCTTAAGTTTTATAATTTTTTTCATATAGTTCTTACATACCTTTTGTTGGTTTTAAAATTATATTTCCCTCTGATACATTATAATTTTAATCCTGTTGTGAATGGATTCCTTTTAAAAATGTTATATTTTTCAATTGGTAAATTGAAAAATATAACTGAGGTCACAGATTGGTAAAGTTTAGCCCAGTCTTTTAGCACAGCATTATCTTGGGACACTTTAGCTGTGGAAGGACCAGTTGTCAGTCTGCCTTTTGAATACTTCAGGGAACACACACTTCACCAGGGTCAGTCATCCATTCCATGCCCTCATCAGGCCTTACAGTCTAGGAAGGGACCCAGACATTAATCCCTAGTTGGTAATTGACACTGTAGGGATCCTAACAAAGCTATCTTGTCATTATCATTGTTTTTACCTGCTAGGTGATGCTGGCACACATTCCAAACACTATTGGATGACTAAAGTTGTTAAGGTACTCAGACTAGGGCTGGGTGAAACTCAGTGGGAGAACTCGTGCCTAGCATGCACAAGCCCTGTGTTCCATCCCCAGCACCACACACACACACACACACACACACACACACACACATACACACATACACACCAACCCAGTATTTTTCCCTGCCATTGTACCTGGGCTACTTCTTAACTCAAGATTGAGATATTAATAGTTTTACTTTTTAAATTTTTTATTCTAATTAGTTATACATGACAGTAATACGAATGGAATATAATTTCTCATTCTTCTGGTTGTACATGATGCAGAATCATGCCAGTTGTGTACTCAAATATGGATACAGAACTAACAGTTTGACTTCTCCCCGTCTCCTAAGAAAACCTGAGTACACTCCAGTTGGTCTTGGGCCACCTTTGTTTAACTTAGTATGTAAACCCCTTCCTCCAGCCTCAGGAGTGGAGATCCTTTCTGTTTTGCTGTCACCCAAGACATGTTTCTGTACATAAGTCCCTAATAAGTTGCACTTTGTGCAGTTCTGGATTTGTCCCCCTCTTTCTTCAGTCTTTCAGCACCTTTCACCTTTAGTGGCAGTTTTCATATACCAGGTTTTTCTATAACCGATACACTTTCCTATGAAAAAACAAAATGCTATGAAAACATATAAAGGAAGGACAATTTGGCAGCACAGTCTGGGAGGGCTTCTCAGTGAAGGTGCATGTATGAACTAAGATCTCAAAGATGAATCAGTGTTAACAGGCAAAAAATTGTTATAGAAATAGCAGGTGCAAAGGCCCTAAGGCGAGAGAATGAGGCTCATGTGAGAGTCTAGAAGAGGAAACTGGTGTGGCAGAGAAATGGGATGTTAGCAACAGAAGAGAAACAGGATGTTAGACAGTGTTTTAACGGTTCTGATCGTTGTCCTGTGGGCAATAGGAAGCCATTGAAGGATTTTAAGCAGAGAGTTGTTATCAGTTTTTTAGTTTTTAAAAGATCCCTTTAATTTTTGTGTGGAGAGTGGCTTGGAGAGGCACAAGTACATGTGCTGATGATGGAGAAAAATAAAAACATCTGAGATATTTAAAGTAAAATAAACAGAATTTGATAGTGAATTGGATATGTAGGTTGAGGGAGAAAATGAGAGTCAGGGCCAATTTCTGACTGGAACCAGATGCCTCAGTAGTGTTGTCTGCAAATATTAGGAAAGGGGAAAGGAACTATGTTTGGTTGGAAGGAGATCATGTTGGGTTCTGAGCATTCAGATTTAGATGTCAGGTAAGCACTAGTATGTATGCCTTCAGCTTGGAGGAGAGGGTCTGGCTCGAGACACAAATATGGAAAGCTTTGGAATGGTGGTGGTGGTTGAAATGAGATCAAGTTGGTAGGAAACAAAGGGAAAATAAAAAGTAGCAGCCTGGGATTCAGCTTTAAGGAATTCTAGCATGGACTATATAATGAACCTGCAAGAGAGTCAGAGGCAGAAAACCAGGAGAATGGGATTTCCAGAAAGCTGAGTGATCCTGTATTAAGAGAGGAGTGATCAATGGCATCAACTGTTGCTTAGAGATTAGGTAAAATTGTAACTCAAAAGTGTCCATTAGAGTTAGCCACCACTGCGGAGTGAACTTCTCTCCAAAGGACACCAATCGAGGGAAGACAAGACTGAGGGGACTGGAAGACAGGGCTCCTCAGGCCTGAAGGCAGGCAGACGTTTTTATAAGCTTGGAACAGCAAGCTCAGAGGTGTAATGAACCAGCTGGAACATGAACACCAAATGTATGCCACAAAACACTAAGTTTCAAAAAGGTCAGATACTAAGTGAGAAGACTGACTAATGTCACTCACCCAGATTTGAGCCTGGACAGGAGAAACATTGTTCCTCGAGCAGATCAGGTCCTTGTACCCAAGGGTCCAGCACACTGGTAATCAAGCAGAAAACCACCCATGCTCTGGGGAAGCTCTCCTGAGCCTTCATGAACACCACTGCAGATTGTGCTAATATCTTTTCAAAAGAAATCCTACATACAACTCTGGATTGGAAAATAGATATGGAATTGCTGTCGTTGAGGGAAGGGACCACCCTGAATTCTATGGAAGCCTAAGTACCTAAGTTTTTTTCAGAATTGTCCAGTAGAGTTAGCCAAGGGAAATTTGGGCTGATACTTAAATCCTGCTTAAAATGTCATTCTGGATAATGCCTAGCAAGCAAAATGGGAGTGTGGAACTGCTGGTGTGTTCTGTGAGGATCGGAGGATAGACACTCTACTGCTGAGTAGGATTCCACTGTGTGATACCACAGTTTATTCATTCAGCCTGTGGAAGGAATATGTGGATTGTTTCCACTTTTAGGGAATTATAAATGTAGCTGCTATAAACATGTAAGTTTTCATTCTCTAAGTGGATACTCAATAGTAAACTTCATGGATCAAAATGTTTTAACCTTTAAGAAACTGCTACTGTTGGGCTGGGGACGAAGCTCAGTAGTAGAGTACTTGCCTAGCATACATCATGGTGGCCCTGAGTTCTATTCCCAGCACCACAAAATAGAAAAGAGAAAGAAAAATACTGCTACTGTTTTTCAGAGTGGCTGTAGTGAGTTCCAGTTGCTCTGCATCCTTACTAGTATTTATTTTTTTTTTAGTTTAGCCATTCTGATGGGTATATAATGGTATCTTGCAGTAGCTTTCACTTGCATTTTCTTAAAGCTAATGATGATGTCATATGCTCCTCATATCCCCTTTGGTGACATGTCTCTTCAAGTCCTTTGCCCACTTTTAAATTGGTCTTTTTGTTGTTGTTGTTACTGTGAAGTTTTGATTCTTTCTATAATCCAAGTCTCCTGTTGTATTTGCTTCCAGCCTGTAGTTCAAAGTAGAGAGCAGTTTTCTTTTCATCCCCTTAACAGTGTCTTTCACAGAACAAAGTTTTTATTTTGATAAAATCCAGTTTACCGATTTTTTTCTTTTCTGGATCATGCCAAACTGACTCTAGGTCATGAAGATTCTCTTGTTTTCTTCTAAGTCTTTTAGTCTTATAATTTTACATTTTGATCTATTATCCACTTTAGGTTTGTTTTGTATAAAGTGGAAGGTTTAAAATGGTTGAGGGCTTTTTGTGTTTTGCACACCAAAATTTTTCCTAGTCCTTTGTTTGTCAAGACTTTCCTTTCTCCATAAGTTGCTTTTGCATATTTGTCAAACCAGTTAGTCCTATTCATATGGGTCTGTTATG